ACAGCATTCAGCATGCCGTCTAATGGCAGGGACGATGCTGGGGTCGGTGATTTTATTTCTCTTGAGCTTTTGCTATAGGAGGCTAATGGCTGGGCAGCCAGTCTTTCTGTACCACCTCTGTCAACTTGTCACTTTTTGGGTTGTGTGCACACCAGGGGACACTGAAAATAGGTGCGTTTTTTTCATGAACTTAAAAATAAATAGGTTGCTGCAGTGTGGCTAACACAAAATGGATTGTAGCGTATCCTCCAAAGGTTACGGGGATGAGTTATAGCTGTTCCAGAGATATAACAGTGTGGATGCTTCTGGCCCCTTCTTTGACAAAGGTGAACAGGGATGATGTGCCTGGTCCACTGCGCATTCTGAACTGCTGACATATAAATAAAATGAGTTGAAGTCGTAATACTTGAGTGAAAGCTAAACCTATTGTTTATTCAGCTAGTAAATACAGTACCTCTTTATATGGTGTCATTCATGCAAAAGTACTGAGGAGCCGAGTGCACGGAGCATTTCTCAGCCGGGCAGTCTAGCATACAAATAGAAGAGTGTAGGGTTAGCATAACAAATTTGTTTTATGCAGATTCTTCTGCACACCTCGTGGTTGCATCTCAATGCTTTCCACATTGCATTAAGCAGTGTGACCGGTGGCTGTCACATGTTGGCTCCTGCCTACCCTCCCCATGCTTAGAGCTGTGCGTTGTAGAAAAAGGCAAGGTCACGAGAATGTGTCTTTTTACTCGCTGCAAGGTGATATGGCTTGTGATGGTCTTCAGCTCTGGAGAGGAAGTTTGGATTTGTTTGTCAGTGTGAATTTTTGCAATTTGTTTCCTCTGTCACACTCTATTAAAGTCTGTGGGCAGTATTGCTAATCTAGAAAACAGTGTAGCGTTCGTTATGTAAGCCTTCCTTATTTTGGAGGAAAATGTGCCCAGAACAATTTGCATAATGTTCAGAATAATGTTCAGAATTCCCCGGTGAACAGGGAATTTCAGATCAGCACAAAGCAATGCAGCTCTGCAGTTGTCCATGGATGAATGTGCTATCCTCAACAGTTTGGCACCCATCGGGAACGCCTTTTCTCCCAGCTATCAGGGCTATCCAGGTCGCAGCACCGTGACCAGTAGCATAACCTGCAGATACACTGGAGGAAAAGTGTTTCTCACTTTTTTTCAGAGGACTGCCAGTCCTCTGAGTATTTCCTTAGCAAAGCCCTGTAAGTGGTGCCACTCGGTAAATAAAATATCTTCTGGGAAAGGCAATTTTAGGTCAAACAAAACTGTCAGTGCGTTGGGATCCAGTTTATTAGCCAACACGAATGTCACCAGCCTTTTGTTCGCAGCTACTCTCCTCTCCCTCCTCTTCTGTAATTGTGAAGAGGCACTGAAAGGAGGGGCAGTGTTTTCAATCATCGGGATACAAGATGGTGAAAATATTTTAGCTAATTTAAAATAGTGTAGAGGGCTAATTTTTCACTTGGGAGTGAAAACTCCAGTTTTCTTTTTGTGCTCCTGTTTAGCAAGAGTTGTTGTCTTTGGTTCCATTATCTCATTCCTTCCTCCTGTTGGCAAAAGCTGATGTAAAACAGTTCTCTTGAGGACTTCTTGTATGCCTGGAATAAAAGCATATGCGTAGGACCTTTGCTGAATCAGGGCCCATGAGCTGAGCTTAATTCTTACGTTGATCCTGGAGCTGTTTCAAGAAACCATACAGGTCATCTTTCAATATATTATTTCTGAAGCCTACCACTCGGGGTAAATACTGTTCGGCTGTGTAACTGTAGCACCTGGTAGATTGATAATAAAGCATCATACACTGGTGTTTTAAAGATGAGACTTTCAGAGATTCAAGGTAGGCAGTGGATCGTCAGGCCTGTAAAATTTAACAAGTATGCTCAGCAACGTTACAGGACTGGTTTGGTGGTTTTGAAAAGTTAGAGGTTCTCTGTACAGACATATTAAACCAGGAATGTATAAAATATTCATCAGATGCTGTAGGTATCAGTGACAGTGTTTGATTTTTTGCACACGACCAGCTCGGTTAAAATCGCCTCTTTTCTCCTCTGGCCTGTCCTCTGTGGCTCAGGACTGTGTTGCTCTGTCACATCCCATATTGTGCTCCTGCCTTTCCCCGGGCTGCTCTCAAGCAGCTATGCTGGAGGGGTTGCTAATTATTTATCAGTTTAATGGTGTACATTGCTCTTCAGGGACAAATAGGCAGGTTTCCAACATGAAAGTCCATCCAGTTCAAGGACCTGACTCTGCATGTTCCTTACTATTTCACGTGTTGTGTCAGCAAGCAGAGCTGCATTTACAAAACAAGACCTGCCTCAGCAAAGGTGTAGGGATGGAAGCTCGGGAGGAAAAGGTGTTTCATTTCCTTGTTTCAGGATGTACCCCATGGGCAACAATATTTGCCCGTTTTATTTTGCTGCTGATTAGGACCATCAAAGGTGGTTTCTTTCTCTTTATGTATTTTAACACTGGGGAAAAAAAACCTTTAACCTTTCTGTCTCATTAAACGTGCTGCAATCCTCACAACACTTCAACAAGCATCCCATGTGAGGGGCTCTTGACATCAGAGTTTTCTTTCACAGATGCCTGATTACTTCTCCAAAGGTGTCTGATTACTCTTTGCCGGAGTCTCAAATGATGCTGTTTCCCATCAGTGGGAATTCGCCTTCGAGTACCACCTTTAATTATGATCCTAGACTAAGTTAAGCAATGCGCAGTCATAAATTCACTCTAGTAAAACTTACTTATCTTGGATTCTGAATTAACAGCCGGGATGTTTCCCAAGTAGTGTACCATGGCAACACACAGTTTGGAAGTCACTGGAACTTAAGGCGACTAAAACATGGATGGAAGATCTTGGATTTTCCCTCCTGTGCGTGTTGCACTGGAGGCTCGGCTGCAGCTGCCAGCCTGCCGTCACAGGTGTGGCGCTGCGCAGGCACAGCACTTGAGCTCATATTCACTGTTTCACGGCTCCCGACACCAGAAATGCAACTGCAGCTCCTGCAAAGGTATTGCTTTTTCGAC